CAAACCAGGTCATTGATGCATGAGAAGCTCCAAGTAAATTGGTAAAATAATCATACAGAAAGTGATGGCAAAACTGAAGGTTCCAATAACACTTGGTAGCTTTTTCTACTCTCGTGTAGAAACCATACTTTAGTGATCTTGTAAATTTGATGAAGTAAATAAATCACATTTTACACCCCAACCTTCACTTATGACAAAGTAACTTCTACTGCACATTCACTGTTTTTAAGGTAAATTTTTACTTGAGCTCAGTGAGAACATTTTTAAATATTTCTATACAGCATAAGACAAGCAAAATCATAAAATGATTTTATGAAATAATAATACCATGTTTTCATATCTCTGATTTCGTTTACACCTCTAGGTATTTTTCGTTTTCATATAGCTTTTTTATCTTTTCCTGAATCTGTTAACATTTTATTCCCACTGATTATAATCTGGACAACAAAAAATTTGCTACTGCAGAAAACTCATAAGATTCGGGGTAACTTGGTAGTGCTTATTTCAAAAATGTATTCAGAATTTGTCCATCACCTCTATATTTTGAGTTATTGTAATATCTCAATATTTTATCAGCACTAATCATGCAATGAATCAGTACAATAGGTTTATGCTGTGAAATTAAATTCATTTGGACAGTTTAATTGATTGCATTGCATTGGTGTAATATTACAAATATATTGTTCATATATATTATTTGTTCTCGGTATAATTGTAGCGAATTGCACCACTTTTGCTTCATTCCCGTGCCCGAAATCTCACGTGCCCAGTTTGATAAAATATTCAAGAAGTCCCTCGGCTGAGCATAAATGGGGCGGAGTCAGACACCTCTCTCTCAGTTACCTCTCGCTCACTCAGTTGGTCACTTCGCCTTGTTCCTTGCACATTCAAAACAAAGTCCGGTCTTCTTTCTCGTATTATACCCATGATATAATCAAATTCTGCAATTTTTTAAGTCTTTTAAACTCTAATTCTTTGAACATAAATTTTACTTTTTTAGAAAATCATTTGAAATGCTGGCTGCCTCCAGTTCAAATAAAGTCCGGAAGTGCAGAAATCATCCAAACAGCTTTTGCTACATTTGTGGAAAATAAATTACAATTTCACTAAGGAAAAACATCACACACGAGGTAAAGGTAGATTACTACCACTGTTTTGGGTGAAAAATTAGTGACCAAGAAAAACATTGAGCTGCACATGTGTGTTGTACAGTTTGCACAAATATACAGTGAGCCAAATATAATCTAACTGACTGTTATTTTTCCATGAGTAATGTTTCTGAATATTCAGGCAAACTAAACAATACATTAAATACCCAGATATTGCAACTGAAATGGACCAGTACCTCATTGGTGATGGTCTTCCAATGCCACATCCAGAAGAGTAATCCTACGAAGAAGACAATGAATCATCTTCATCCTCTTCATCTAGTAATTCTATCTCTCAACATAAACTGCCTCATCTGATCACACAAGAAGAGTCAATGATCTGATTCATAACTTGTCTCTATCAAAGCAGCAAGGGGAACATCTTGGCTCTCGTTTACAGTAATGCAATTTATCATCTCAGGAACAAGAGATTTAATTTACCAAAGTCGCCATCAAAGTCTTGTTTCTCACTACAGCATGCAAGATACTTTGTGTTTTTGTACAAATGTTGATGCACGAATAGAAGAATTAGGTACTGAACATCATTCTCAAGAATGGAGACTTTTTATCGACTCATCTAAAGTTAATCTGAAAGCTGTACTTTTGCACAGTAGGAACAATATGCCATTGATTCTTGTTGCTCATGCTGTGAACATGAAAGAAACCTATCAAAACATGCAGATTAAATATGCTTAAATGCAATTTCCAATGAATAAATAAAGTTCCCAAAAAAGTTATTTTCACGATATATAAGAATATTTTGAATAAATCTATCATAACACAAAACTAGAGTTGGTCAATAATTTTCAACATGACTTTTAGAATCAGTATCGTCAAATTACTCGGAAACACTTGCATTTTTTCTAATAGCAGAGAAAAAATAATTTATTATTTTCCTGGCTTCCTAAGTTTTAAAGTTACTTGAAAAGATTTTTCGTTGTACAAAACTTGAAGATGGCTTTGATATAAGGAAACATCTGTTAGCTGAGTTCTTGTACAGACGGAACGTTATATTTTAAGATCTGTGCAAGAACTCAGCTAACAGATGTTTCCGTATATCAAAGCCATCTTCAAGTTATAAAGTTACTTTCGCTGAATTGCTCCAGTAAATTTTGTAAAATTTCAAAACTTCTTTCAAATTTTATAGAACTCTTTTTACAAAGCCATTGTCTATAAAATTCTGATATTTATTGTGTCTAATATTATTTTATTATTCATGCCAGATATGAGAATTCTTACTTAGAACCCAGCTGAAGCTATTTTCTCCTCTCTATCACCTTTGCCATAGTTATGTTATATATAACTTATCATCCAGTTTATATATGATCATATTATAACAAAGACCAATGCAGATGCTCACATTTCAAAAGCTAAATGACTTCAGGTCACAATCTTATAACACTGGTTGAAAATGGTTTTGTAAAACCTCCCTATTAACAAAATTAAAGACTTAAATTATAAACAATTTATCATCTAGTAAACATACTATCATGCTATAACAACAATTATTGAAATGCCCATATTTCAAGAACGAAATGACTCGTTGTCAATATATACTGCTAACCATACTCTGAAAAACTCTGTGACGACACTGTAATTTACAGTAATGATAAACTAAACTCTCTATCATAGATCTTTATTCTGAAATATTTTCAAAATATTAATACATGTTTCTGTAATTATTTACAAATTATGGTCAACTTTGAACATTGCTAACGTTTTCCTACAGCATTTTCTCGTACATTTGAAGGCTTAAAAATTGCCTGCTTGATAGATAATTCATTGAGTTGGTCTCAATAGGTTGTCTAATGTGATAGTTATGTATGAAGATAGAAACTTTGAAAACTCTGGTTTGCTCTTTATGTTAATAGGATTTGCCTTGTAAAGTAAATAAAGTTAGTGTGCTTCAGGAGTGTCATGTAATTCTAAGTAAAAATAGTCCATATGGATATTGTACGGTTAGTTTCATCTCCTTCTCAAATGAAATCAAAGCTTTGTCATGGAAATCAAACAATGGTTGAAAACATCACACGCATTTGAGAAGGTAGTCATAATAGCTTTCAAGAGGTGCTGTTATTAAGCGATAGCACAGCAGGGAGCCTAGCAATTGAGGAAAATGACACTCCCTTACGAAATCTGAGTTGAACCAACATATTCACAAATGCTAATGGGACATTTCTTTCGACCTAGAATACGTACACATACTATTGTATTTGATTGTTTTATAGAATCTTTCTAAGAAAGACTTGGCCGTGACCAATCAGATTTCAACATTTAACTCTAAGTGTTGTGTGTAATTCTGACCTATCAGGGGGGTTGAGTTGAAAAAATATTATCAACCGTGACATTTCCTATAAATGTTAAAATTTTTATCAGTTTACTTATCTACATTTTTGAGCTGACCTGCTGAGTAGCCGTAACTATCTTGAGATCGCAAAAGACAAGTTTATTTTGGTAAACAGAGACTATGATGATTTTATCAATCTTTCCATCATGCCAGCAGTGGATGAGACGATGATGATCAAGGAAGTCATCTTAGCTCTGGAACCAGTGAGAAATCCATCATCTATTGTACCAAGTAATCTCATAAAACATTACTCTCTGTCGTCTGAAGAAAATAATTCATCGTCACCAGCTACATCATTAGACAGCAAGGTACTGCGAAATCTATCCTCAGCTCAGCATCTTCTTTCAACATCATCCTTCAAGAGAAGGAAGCAGAAGAAAGCACACTGTACCCTATCATAAAATGATGAGGCACAGTAGCATTACACAAAGGAGAAAAAGTGACGCACTTTCAATGGTAGCACGAGTATAATCTAGTGATTATGATACTGTGCTTTGTGGGTCCAATAACCCATATATGGCCATCTGAATATATATAAAATATTAGATTTATTGTGCATAAGTAAGTATCGTTTTTTAAAAGCTAAATGAAAACTTTCTATTTAAAGAGTGCTTAATTTCATTGCGAAACGTAAAATAAAAAAAATAAAATAAATAAAATAAAACGTAAAAATAAACGTATATTTGTAGGACTTTAAGAGTCTACTCCGTAACTAAAAGTTTAAAAACATCGTGTGTTTTAAACAAAAAGGTATATATATAAAAGGCTCTACCTACATAAATTGTAGGTGTAAAAAGAAGGAATCTTAATATATATATATATATTCTGTAAATTTCAAAAGTTAGATTTTTTCATTTAGTATATTTTGTAGAAGTTAAACGTATCTGTGTAATCTGTAAAACTTTAAAATATATATCTAAAGCTAAAAACTAAATTATGAATTCTAAACATGTAATAACAAGTAAGAACTTAAATATATACGGGAAGTATAAGGGCTAAAAGTATGGTTACAAAGATATGTGCATAACGTGCAGAAGTTAGAAAATGTGACTAAAGGTATGTAATGCCGATTTGTAAGAGATAATACATATACATCTTATATGTGTGTGTATATATTCTAATAATTAACATATCATGAAAGGGAGAAAAAGGTTACTAAAATATAGTACACTGTTGAAACAAAGAGACTGATTAACAAAGTATGCATGTGACTTGAAAATTGAGTATCATGGTTGAATGCTCATATAACTTCTACAAGTTAAACAGAGTGTTTAAACAATATATATAAAAAGTATTAATAAGTGTATTCCATAAAAGTTTAAAGTTTCTAGCTCTAACTGTCTCACACATTTGAATGCTGAACCTAACATTTTTATGGACTAGTTTATGCTTTTTTGGACTAGTTCACTTCACTGTGCCCGTCTCGTTTACCAAAAATAGCCCACTCAAATCCAATGAGATGGTCTCAGCAGACTGTCTGATGTGATGGTTATATCAAAAGATAGAGAAGTCGAATACTCTGGCTTCCTTTTCTTAGTACCGCGGCTTGGCCCTCTGGGAAATATCAGTGGAGCTTAGAGCTGTAATATAGCAATAAGTAAAGCTAGTTTATCACATGTTTCAGTATTTGTCATGAAATGTTACCTCATAAATATGCAGAAGAAAGCCTAAAACCAAGAAGCAAGTTTTTATCTGTCATAGGCGTTTTTTTATGGGTTTTTTTCATATGCCATGTTTAAGTTATGGGGAAAAATATGTATTCCTGTTTTTGTTGCTAAAAACACATTAATGTCCAGTGTATATGTGGTCGGGTCTTAATTAATTCATATACTGCATACATGTAGTTCCAAACCTCCAGTTTTGAAGTTTTGATAACTTGCCCGTTGGATCTAGCTTTACCTGTAAACAACACAGCAAAAGTATATTTACAGAGTCATACAATATAGGACTTATTTCCTGTTAAAATATTATGGTACTGTAGCCAAACATAATCAAATGCCTGTTTTTTAAGAAATAAACGACTGCAGAACATATGATGTTAATATACTGGTAAACGTACGCAAACACCAAGTTAACATGCGAAACTCTTAAAGATTTATGCTATCTCCAAGTTATTTTCCAGCATAAAATACAACTTTATAAGACAACATGTTCAAATACGTATATTTCAAGCATAAAACCACTTCTGATCAACATCGTTCTAGCAACTGTTACACCTGTAATGGTAAACGTATTATGAAAATTAGAGGTAGGCCCAAGGAACGGTAAAAACGTTATTCTGTGGTATTCCCAGATAAAACGGGAGTAAGCAGGTAAATATTAAGCTTCACAAAATGGCATATTTGAAGGAGGTGTATTATTGCTAGAATAAGGTGAACGCGTAGAGCAAAATAAATACTCAAATATTTGTTTAACACAAGAAACAAATTCTTTGTTGCACACAAGTAAGATGCGTTGGTGCTTACTCCACAGCAACTGTCTTCTGAGTTCTAAGGTGACTTCTCAGGCTGCTGTAGCTAGGAGACAAGCTTCTGTCTACGAAAACATTGATCATTAGTATTACATACATCTAAGGGAAAATGAATACTAACTTATACAAACCTCTATACCACACTTTCACTATGATGGGACCCACACCTCAGGGAAGGAGTGAAACAGATGCAGTTATAAGCCTTCGTGGAATGGTCATTTCGGTATGAAACCTATTTCGCGGCAAAGGCTTATACAAGTTTATAACTATCTAAATCCTGTTCATAAAGAAATTAATTAATTGAAGAACAACTGCATGACATCATATTTATAGATACACAATTTGCAAGAAGTATCGGGACTTGAGATCACAGTTTTACAACAGTTGTTGTGAATATTCCAGAAAACTTTCTCTAAAAACTTCAGTTGTAAAAATTTGACTTAATAAGCTATACTATATACAACTCCTTTTCCAGTAAATATGTAATCATGATTCAATAATAAAAATGTACTTGAATGAGCGTATTTCGTGAATTAAATTACTTCATAGCCCGATCTTCGCAGTCCCCGTTGTCAACATAACATAAATTAAAGTAATTTATACAGTAGAGGAAAGGTGACCCAATTTCCAGAGAAGAATCCAATTATTGACGTTTGTTAACCTTCCCATTTGCTTTAGAGCTTATATTGAGGCTATGCACAGCTAGATTACAATTTTACACTAGCACGTACAGTACAAGTAATTCTGAAGCTTGCAACATATCACTGTGAAAGCAATTATTATTTTCCAACAATATATCGTTCTTTTCACAGAAACAAAAATTACTATACTACCTGAGATTATAATGATAAAGCGACTTAGAAAAATAACGATATCATGGTTTCATTATCATATCAAACTTTACAGTGACACTATTGTAGTGTTTGTGTATAGATATCACTGCAGATTCTGAAATTAAGAGTACTTTTTTAAAGAAATCAATAAATATTAGTACACAGGACTGGGCATGACCTAATGATAGTATGCCAGGCTATAGACTGAAAGATCCAAATATCAGCTGTGATATTCCACTAAACATATTGCACACTTTCAGTTGTGAGAATTTTATAAGTACTACAATCAGACCCACTGTCTGATTAAGACTAGCCATATATTTTATGACGGATACTACTAATATGATATTCGTGGGTGTAATGATTTCCTGTGTGTAAGAGCAATAACTTCTCTAATAAGAGATTTAGCTGAAAGTGCATCGCAAAGTTTGATTTTTGTATTTCAACCCTAATTGAATTAATACAAGCAAAAAGACTGAACAGTAAAGTTTTCTGATAAACAAAAATACCCTATTAAACCAAGAGACAAACTCAGCAGGTGGACATGTGTACAAGTCAACGAGCACTTGTACTTCTTTCTCTTTCCAGTACTGGGAAAGTTCTGAGCTCAAACTGAGAGAGTTCATCACTACGTGTTACTTTGGATACGGTTATATTTCCCAGAGTGTATTATCGCCTGTTCGCCTGATATCGTATTTGAATGCTGGACAAGTATGCGACCCAGCTTAACATACAGATAAAATAAAGTATACAAAGAAATATTAGAAAAAAATGTCATTAACACTGATTTAAAAACATGTATAACATAAAAATTAGTCTCCTAAAAATTTAATGTGTATAAGTATACATACAAAACAGACTAACGAATGAATGTGCCCCAAAGGTGAATACTAGCTACAAGTAAAATAGCTCTTCAATTTTTAAATAATACACTTTAAATGTTACAAGAAAATACCCCTTTTAAAAACATTTAAACAAAATTACTATGGCATTATTCTGATCTTGCTGAAGCTGATTTTCCAACCTGTGATGATGGCACTGAAGCCAATGTTGATGCTTTGGCTAGTTTAAAGGATGACTAAAACCTGTTTCCAAATAGATCAAAAATGCAGTCAGTGATGTAGGGTTGAAAGTTTTAATCTAAATAGTTGTAAATTGTAGCTGATTTTAAAATAATAACAAATTAAGTATAATTACTGTAAACATACATAAACATATGTATTACTACCTCAGAAAATTCCTTCCAAGAACTTGTGAATGTCTTTATCCAAAAGGTTTCTTATGGGACCTACGCTCAATAAACATATTGCTATACTCCCTGCTGGGTCAATTCCTAGCCTAAAAAGCTCCTGCAAGTTAGCATAGCTATCTCTCAGTGTCTGGTTGTAATATAGTCCGGATTCAATGGGAATTAGCGGTGCTGTCACTGTGCTAGTATGTTGTCCTTACATCAGTAACTAATATCTAGCCGGCATCTTCTAAGTACCAGCCACCTTTACTGACTAAAACACAGTTGATGGTCTACGTTTAATGTCGTACATACGTGAATTTATTCGTTACATTGTCAGTAAAATTATTGATAAACTTTCTTCTTCATACATCTTTGAAAAAATGCCTCTGAAACTGTGAAAGAGCAAGATTTTAGGTGTCTTCCCTGGTGAGTCAACAGTTGTCTTAAATTCTTGGTTTGGTACCGCAGTGGGCGCAGTGCAGATAGAAGATTGAGTTGGTTACATTGCGCTTAAGTACAAATATTTCACCAGGACATGGGGTCATGAATTTGTAATTATTGTAGAATGTTTTATTTCAAGTCAGATACAATATAATAAAGGTTGCATTAGAATAATCCCAATAATTGATTTGAATTCAGACTATGCTGTTATTATATATGCACATGTGTTATTCTTCAACGCTACATGTGTGTGTGTGTGTGTGTGTCAAAGTAAACTAGTTTATGCAAGATCAGTTGTTCAAAAATGTCGAGTTTCATTTACCTCATATCCAACTACACTCGCTGTTCGTTGAGTTTCATTCAGTATACATGCAAAACGAGCTTCACTCACCATACATTAATCTCAGCTTGCTGTACGTCAAAACAAGCACACGCCGCACGGACAGATAGAGAGTGTACCATACACTCGCTGTATCCCATAGCAAGTAGGCATACTTCGATCGAATTGTTGGCGTTCTTAATAACTTAATTATTTAAATCAAGTCTTTATATGGATAATAAAGTCTGGGCCCAGAAAAAAACTGAAATTAAAAGTACAGTGGCTACCAAATGTATTCATTCAAAGTACAGTGCCTACCAAATGTATTCATTCAAAGTACAGTGCCTACCAAATGTATTCACCTCCCCTGCAAAGTTTCCACATTTTGTTGCTGTCTGAGCTTGCAATCATGAAACTTTCAAATGAGACTGTATATTTAGAATCTACACAATCGACTCCAAACTGGGAAGCTAAAAAACGCTGATATTATGTAAGTAAGTTAGATTCTCAAAGAAAATTAGAATATTCTCAATTTCAAAAATATTCAACCCCTTTGCTACGGCAACCCTAAATGAGTTCATGTGCAAAAGATTAGTTTCAAAGGTCACAAAGTTAGTGTAATGGTATCTGTTTGTGTGTAATAAAAATGGTTTAACTTGACTTCAGAGTAAAAGCAAGTGTTCAAGCCACAACTCACATAGTGATACGACCAACCAGGAAGGCCAAGGAGCTTTCCAAACAAGTCAGGGATAAAGTGGTAGAGAAGCACAAATCAGGAGAAGGTTACAAGAAAATTTCAAAGTCGCTGATTATCCCTTTGAGTACGGTGAATTCCATCATTAAGAAGTGGAATGTGCTTCATACCACCAAGTCGCTACTCATATCAGGCCGCTTTTCCAAACTAAACAGCTGAGCAATCAGAAAACTAGCTAGAGATGACACTATGAACTCGACAGTAACTTTGAAAGATTTTAAAAGTTCCATGTCTGAGATGGGGGGCAGTGTTCATACATCGACAATATCCCGGTCCCTAAACAAAGCTGGCCTGTATGAGCGAGTGGCAAGAAAGAAACCATTACTGAAAAAGAATCATCTTTAATCGTATGCAGTTTGCGACAAAGCATGTAAATTATACTGGAGACATGTGGCAGAAGGTTTGGTGGTCAAACGAGACAAAATTTAGCTTTTTGATCTAAATTCAAAACTTTGCATTTGGCACAAACCCAACACAGCACATCACCCAGTCAACACCATCCCAACTGTCAAGCATAGTGGTAACAGCATCATGTTATCAGCCAAAGCCACACTGGAGTGGTTTCAAAAGAAGAAAGTGAATGTCCTGGAGTGGCTCAGTCAAAGTCCTGTCTTAAATCCAAT